TTTTGATAAATGATTGAGCTATTGGTTGAGCTTTTTGATTAATGATTGAGCTATGGATTGAGCTTTTTGATTAATGATTGAGCTATGGATGGAGCTCTTTGATAAATGATTGAGCTATTGATTGAGCTTTTGATTAATGATTGAGCAATGGATTGAGCTCTTTGATAAATGATTGAGCTATTGATTGAACTCTTTGATAAATGATTGAGCTATTGATTGATCTCTTTGATATATCATTGAGCTATTGATTGAACTCTTTGATATATGATTGAGCTATTGATTGAACTCTTTGATAAATGCTTGAGCTATTGATTACTTTATTTGATAAATGATTGAGCTATTGATTGAGCTCTTGATAAATGATTGAGCTAATCATTGAGCTAATGATTGAAGTAATGATTGAGATAGTGACTGAGCTCTGTGTTTAATGATTGAGTTACTGATTAAGCTCTTTGATAAATGATTGAGCTAATTGATTGAGCTCATTGATAAATGATTGAGCTAAACATTGAGCTCATTGATAAATGATTGAGCTATTCATTGAGTTCTTTGATATATATTTGAAATATTGATTGAGCTCTTTGGTAAATGATTAAACTATTGATAAATGATTGAACCATTGATTGAGCTCTTTGATAAATGATTGAGCTATTGATTTAGCTCTTTGATAAATGATTAAGCTATTAATTGAGCCATTTGTAAATGATTGAGCTATTAATTTAGCTCTTTAAAAAATGATTGAGCTATTCATTGAGCTCTTAGATAAATTATTGAGCTATTGGTTGAGCTCTTTGATAAATGGTTGAGCTATTGATTGAGCTCTTTGATTAATGATTGAGCTATTTATTGAGCTCTTTGATTAATGATTGAGCTATTACTATTGACTGAGCTGTTGATTAGTTGATTCATCTCTCAGACAAGTATACATAAACTTGTCGAATCTCTTGGCTGCATCAACGTTGGTCGTATTCAACTCAAAGTATTAGAGGAAACACTTGCAACACTTTGAGAGAGAGAGAGAGAGAGAGAGTAAGAGAGGGGGGCATAAAAGAGAGAGATAGAGAGAGAGAGATAAGAGAGAGAGAGATAAGAGAGAGAGAGAGATAAGAAAGAGAGAGGTAAGAGAGAGAGAGAGAGAAGGGTTAGGGAATGAGAGAAAACTGAGAGAAATATTAAACGAGAGAGAGAGAGAGATAAGAAAGAGAGAGGTAAGAGAGAGAGAGAGAGAAGGGTTAGGGAATGAGAGAAAACTGAGAGAAATATTAAACGAGAGAGAGAGAGGGGGGGGGAGGGAGAGAGAGAGAGAGAGATGGGGGAGGGAGAGGGAGAGAGGAGTCAGAGAGGAATAAAGAACTACATCTAACTAAAAGCAACACATTGTTTTTATTATTTGCAACATCAGTTTATTTTCATTGGATTGTGATACCGTATATAACATGTTAAAAGAAATAAACGTACCGTGTTCCTCGACTTTCAACAACAACAAAGAACAAGCTCGTTTAAAACATTTTTTGGTTCTTACCGTATTTACTCAGGTAAAGGTAGTTACACCATTATTATGAATTTAAAAAAAACCCCAACAAAACAAAAAACAACAAGATGACGTCATTGAACACATAATATGTGACATAAAGCTTAATCCCATGTACACATTATTTATTAACTGTGTTTAAACACAACATTGATAGCTCGATTTCACCGCAGTGATCAATTCATTCACCATTTAAAAATTTAAATTTTAAAAAAATTGCATTTTTATAGTTACAATGGATTCTAATGATGTATGAGTATGGCATAAAATCCAATGTATGAGTATGGCATAAAATCCAATGTATGAGTATGGCATAAAATCCAATGTATGAGTATGGCATAAGATCCAATGTATGAGTATGGCATAAAATCCAATCACAGAAGAATAAGACATGCGTATAGTTTCCACAATGGAAACATTTTAGGTCATTTTTTTTTCAGTGGAAAAATCACAGCGGCTTCCATAAGTTTTTTTTACAAGTATTTCTTTCTCTCTCTCTTTCTCATTCTCTCTCTCTCTCTCTCTCTCTCTCTCTCTCTCTCTCTATCTTAGCTTCTCTCTATAGATATCTTATACACACAATTTTTCAATAATATAAATTAATTATGTACACATTGCAGTTGTAACTATCACCTTCCGCAGGTTCTCAATCAGATAGACACAGGGGATGATGAAATTAAATGTTGCCTATATATGGGAACATGGTAACATTCTAAAACTCCCGACAACTCTGGCAACATGCGAATCAGTAAACACCGAGTCAATTAAAAAACAATAACAAAAATTTTAAAGAAACGAAATATATATATAAAGTCTTAAAAGTTTTTTTAAAAAAAAACCCTCCTTCCCCCCCCCCCCCCCCCCAATCAGGTTAGGGTGGCATGAGCCATCCTATTGGCTTGGCGACGATGCTGTCTGTCATTGAGACACACCTATGACAGCAGCGACGCCGATGTGGAACAGGGAAATCCGGCTCTGCGGATCAAACTTTCAGCCGATTTCCGTGACGCCCTGTCAAACTTTCAGACCCCCAATCTTTCAATCAACTTTTGATTGTATTACTGCCACGCCCGTGCCCCCCCCCCCCCACCCCCCATTCATAACCACGGCTTTTTTTTTGGTATCAGGGATCCGATCACATCGCTTGACGTAAATAGATTTGCGTCGTTGGCGGAGATTGGCGGATTTGTCTCGCGGATTTAAACATATATTATGTATATTATATATATACGTGCAGTGAAACAGAGGCTTGAGACGGTCGCACTTTTTAAACAATTTTTTTTTTTTTAATCTCGGCATCCTAACATTGACCTCGATCTGAAACAGTCGGGAAAATAAAATTATTTTTGCTTACTTTACACCCCCCCCCCCCTTTTCCTTTTTTTTTTACCCCCCACAACTTTCTAATACAACGCTGTGTTAATTGTGAAATTTATCAACCAGGAACCAGTTAAAAAGACGAAGACGAAATATTGAGCACTTTGAGTGCGTCTCATTGTCTAACAGTGCGCGGCACTGCGCCGGTGTGAAGACTGTAATCCTCCGAATTAACTAATCCGACAGTTAGTGTGGGATGGGGGGGGGGGTGGCCGTAGGCGTTAGGTGACCTAATTCTGGGGCGTGAGAAAGGTCATCACTCTAATGATGAGAGGGTTCGATGCGTGACATGGAGATTTATCACGGCCGATCCCAGCGGTCATAGCACTTCAGGGCCCCCATGCTGCACTGAAAGGGAAAAACTATTCTTTTTATTATTTTTTAAATCGCACATCTTAAATGAGATGATTTTCAAACCTTTGCTGTTCTATGCACGCCTTTTTGTGTGAATTAATGAGAGCTGTGGCAAGCTAGACAAGATGGTGTGTTTTTTGGTTTTGGGGTTTTTTTTTAGTTGCATGAAGATGTGTCAGAGGTCGAAAGTGCTGACACGAGAATAAACCGTGACGTGTCAGCTCTACTTATGCCAGCGTTTCCCAACCTGTGGGTCGCGACCCCTTTGGGGGTGGTCGAACGACCCTTACACCGGGATCGCCTAAGACCATCGGAAAACGCATGGTTTTAAAGTAGCGACGAAAATAATTTTAATGTCGGGGTGGAGGGGGGGGGATGTCGCTACAGCATGAGGAACTGTCTTGAAATGTCGCGGGTGTCACCACAGCATGAGGAACTGTATTGAAATGTCGCGGGGGTCACCACAGCATGAGGAACTGTATTGAAATGTCGCGGGGGTCACTACAGCATGAGGAACTGTATTGAAATGTCGCGGGTGTCACTACAGCATGAGGAACTGTCTTGAAATGTCGCGGGTGTCACTACAGCATGAGGAACTGTCTTGAAATGTCGCGGGTGTCACTACAGCATGAGGAACTGTATTGAAATGTCGCGGGTGTCACTACAGCATGAGGAACTGTATTGAAATGTCGCGGGTGTCACTACAGCATGAGGAACTGTATTGAAATAACTGTATTGAAATGTCGCGGGTGTCACTACAGCAGGAGGAACTGTATTGAAATGTCACGGGGGTCACTACGGCATGAGGAACTGTATTGAAATGTCGCGGGTGTCACTACAGCATGAGGAACTGTATTGAAATGTCACGGGGGTCACTACAGCATGAGGAACTGTATTGAAATGTCACGGGTGTCACTACAGCATGAGGAACTGTATTGAAATGTCACGGGGGTCACCACAGCATGAGGAACTGTATTGAAATGTCGCGGCATTAGGAAGGTTTGAGAACATCTGACTTCCGTCCTAAAAAAACAAAACAGACTGCAAAGGAGCAAACCTTGGATATAAGAGCTTCTGGCCAACGAACGGAAGTCGCTTTCTGCAACTCTTAAACCATCCTTATATTAATATGATTTTTGTTTTATATGACAAGGTTAGGGCCGGGACATATGACATATGCTCATGTTCAACTCCTTCCGCCCCAAATAACATATTAAATTTAATAAAACCACACTTAAATGACATACAAATCATCAGATGATTATCGTGCATGTAGAACAGATCCATTTTTCATTTTCGCAACTTTCAGTAATGGCATAATGTATTTTTTAAAAAAACAACAAAAATACATTGCATGATAAGAAGTATTTAAGGTTGTGGAAGATATCCAAAAGGAGTCGTTTGAATGGAATTCATGTTTAAATTGACTTCATCTGGCTTTCATTACACAGAGACAAAGGAAGAACAAAAACAATGCCTGTCAAAATCCAACATGAGTTGTGCAGTTAGGAAAAACAAAATAATTGTGCATTATGTTCGGTTATTCCACACATGCATGCATTCATAGGCCTACATAAAAATATCCATACAAAACTGTGTGTGTATATTAAAAATCACACCTCCCTCAATTTCAGCGGAACAAAATAAAAATTTAGAGGCGTAATTTTTGGGTTTTTTTTTTTCTCCTTTTCAATCACAGAAATTTGTACAAATGTTACAAAACATTAAAAAAAAAAAATCAATGGCAAATGTATGAAACCAATTAGTCTATATTATCGATATAGTTCTATTGATTGATTGGAAAAGTGAACCTTTCCCAAACTGAAAGACATTATGACCCATGGCGACATGCGGAGAATGATATGTGCATATGTACACTATGTATAACTACCATAATATATGATTTTATTTTCATTAAAAATGCAGTAGACAGACTGGTTTACGGATTATCCAGTGGATTAACCAGTTGGGCTGGGCAGTTTGGATTATGGATTAACTGGGATTTTTTTTTTGCCCTGGATAGACACAATTTGATATTGGCGAATAAACTGTCAACAAAGAAAGAGATGTTTACAGGTAGAGTTGAGTGGAGTCTTGATTTGTCAACTTCATATCACATCCAAAATATCGTGGGGTTTTTTTTTGGTGTGTTTTAATATCATATTGACACCTGGCCTCAGGTGAAACAAACTGTCATTGCTGACATTGCCGACCTAGCTGACACACGGGGACACCAAGCTTGACCATCTGTCAAACTGTCAGTCACCCATGATAAGTGTAACATAAACACTTCTTCTCCGTGCCGGTGGGTAAGCCGTTGGATAAGCCGTTGGATAAGCCGGGATTAACCCGCATTAAGGTTTTCCGGATGAGAATAACCCCTTCAAATACCCTGGATAATCCAGCCTTTCGACTCCCCCGAATCTTCCTGCCTGTCTACTCCCCCGAATAATCCTGCCTGTCTACTCCCCCAAATAATCTTGCCTGTCTACTCCCCCGAATAATCCTGCTGTCTACTCCCCCATGCAAATAATCCTGCCAGTCTGCTAACCCGGATAATCCTGCCTGTCTACTGCGTTTTTTAAATGCACTAAATATTCACACAAAAAAATGTTTAAAGAATTGTGTTGTAAACAATCTTTAAATTTAAATATATGAACCAAAATAAAATAGGTAAAAGGCAACTATGATAATGAAATGATTTTGTTTTTGTTTTTTTGTTAACTCGCTAATACTAATACTACTTATTTATTTAAAAAAAAATTTTTTTTAAGTTTTATATTTTGTCAAAGCGAAAAATGTCCTTAAAATTGGAATTACCGGCTACAAGATTCACTGCTCATCAGCTGAGCTCGACGTTGACGTACACCTCGGCTTTTTCGTTGTGATCACTGGGGCTGGTTTTAGAATCACCGGAGACGCTTCCGCGCCCAAGTTTGTCGTCACCGAAGGACGCCCCGCTGTGGGCCGACTCCAAAGAGGCGTGGCCCACGCTGTCGGAGCTCTGGGAGGAGCTCTGCCGCGAGTACGCCGCGTGCTGGGGCGTGGCCTGCGTCCCGGGTTCGTCCTCGGACTCGAACCCGTAGGAGCACTCCGAGACCTGGCGCGCCCGCTTGGGCTCCGTGGCGAGGAGGTCGCCCTCGGAGGCGCGCCTCAGGATGCCCGCCGGCTGGGTGAAGTGGACGCGGGCGCTCTTGGGCGTGTGGCAGGCGCCGCTTGAGGAGAGGTGGCCGGCGCTGGTGGCGCCCATCATCGAGCCTAGAATGACGGGAAATAACAGAAATAATCAAGATTTAGTCAGTACATGGATTCCCAAACCCTTTCTATGTTCAGCTCTCCTCACGACTACGAATTGTTGGATTTAGTCTCGCGACCTCTTCAAAGGTTTGAATTTATTTTAAAATTGTTAAATAAATGGACTTCCAATTAATATTATTATAATTTTTTTTTCAACATGACTATTACTATTAGAATTTTAGAGCATAGAAATAGACCATAGAAAATACAATTAAGACTGGTTACATTTGCGAATTATTTTTGGCGCGAAACATTTGATTTTGAGGTATTTTATTTTCGTGAAACTGGTCCGCACTTAAAATAAAATACAAAAAAAGATCTACATTTATAAATGCACGTAGTGAAGCACGGGTACATTTGCCAGTATTTATTAAGTCGGTTTTCTTTTCTTTCTTCTTTTTTTTTTTTTGGTCAGGTTTGAATAAGTTGTAGTTTTAATTTGAACCAATAATGAAAGGATGATAATAAAAACCAGTGTTATAGTAAAAAATAAAAAAATATGCCCTAATGTTCTTTACGGGGTCAAATAATTCATATTGTATTTATTTTTACAATTTGAAACTCACTGAACGCATTCAGCTGCGGATTTTAAACGCACGTGACCAACGCTACCAGACGGCCGTGAACTTACTTCCGGCTGACGAGATCTTCTCGTTGGCGTGATTCTCGCGGTGTTCCTTGAGCGTGGCCAGAGACGGTTTCTTGGTGCTGAGGCAGACTTCGGTGTCTTCACACAGACACTCCATGTCTATCCGCACCGCGTCTGACTTGAGGCTTCTGGTCTGTTGGGGTGACATTATGGACAACACATATAACATACGATTCAAAGATTTGGTTGTTGTTGTTTTTGTTTTTTTAAAGGGTATGCAGAAAACTAAGCATATTCCAGAGCAATGTAGCATCTCATTTTTAACGTAAAATTATTATTTTTTTTAAAAAAATCTTTATGCGTTTACATTAATTTTGTAAACGCTATTTTTTTTTAATGAACACTGGATTCACGTTTTAAAGATTTAAAAAATAAATTTAAAATGTTAGATACAATTGTATGTATGCATAATATGTCTAAATTCTGATTGCTATTTATTCTGATAGCACATGCGAATCCTCCCACAACAACAACAAAAATTTAAATCTAAACTTCTACTCAAAGAATTTTAACCGTTTGATATTCAGCATATTTTGTCATATTAATGTTCATATTATCATATTGTTCATATTATTCTATTGTTCATATTATTCTATTGTTCATATTATTCTATTGTTCATATTATTCTATTGTTCATATTATTCTATTGTTCATATTATTCTATTGTTCATATTATTCTATTGTTCATATTATTTGTCAAAAAGAGGATATCACTTTTTATTTTCCAACCTTCCCAATTGCCTACAACTACTTTTCAATGAAATGACCAGCGAAAACAAAGAAAGCAAAGGGTCAAACGCTAAGTCCGTCGGCGTCCATTACCTTGTCGTCTGCTCTGAACACCGGGTTGATCTTCGAGCTGCCCGTCTCGTCCTTCGCGTGTTTGCCCACCCCGGTCAGGTCGCCGAAGCTGATGCTCTTCTGGAGGAGGTTGTCGCCGAACCAGCTCGCCTTCCGGCTCGGGTCCAGGAAGATGCTGCCCCGGCGCTCAGAGGTCGGTGGGACGATGGACCCCCGCCTGTCCATCAGAAGGTTCGGGTTGCTGCCCCTTAGGTCTTCGCACTGGACACAAGGGTGAACAGAGACAATTATTTGGGGGGAACAGAAAATGGAATGTGGAGGAAAGAAATGCAATAAGAAATATGTCAAATAAAATTACCATACGAGATTCGGTTTTCAGGTATGCTGTCCCACATAAAAACTCAAATAAAAAATATACCTAGTGTGTATATAGATCATGTATGTCGGTCGAAATGATAGCTTCTGAGTCTCTTTGTTTTTCTGGCCATGTTTTCAAAACACTCTTCATCTTTTTAGATTTGTTATAACAAAGAAATGTCCCCGCTTTCCTAAACCTTTGGCTGATAATTCTGTGTGAGGTATCCACGCGATCTTGTTGCACAACATTAGTGGGGGGGGGGGCCGCTAAGGTCTCTACAAGAAGCTGCCCCATCTTGTTATGATGGCGCCCCATCTTGTTATGATGGCGCCCCATCTTGTTATGATGGCGCCCCATCTTGTTATGATGGCGGAGGGATGGTGACGGATTTACCCATCAATGCTTAACAGCTAATGCGGATATGTCACGATCATCTCCACAGTAAAAGCAAGGGGGTCTCAAGTAAGGGGGTCTCTATTTAACTAGAACACTGAACTTCGTTTTATTCTAAGGACCCCTTTTTCTTATTTTCAGTAGGGTGTTGGGGGGGGGGTGATGGGGGTGGGGGTGCCGTGGTGGTTGGGTAGTGGTGGGGGTGGGTCGAGAGTCGGGGGAACTAATTAATCATATTTAAAACCAAAAACAAAGTTTTAATTAAAAATAAAATAATAAAGGCTGACAAGGATTCTCACACTAACAAGGGGCTACATACCTCTGCGAACTCTTCGTCACTTAATTTCTCCAGGTGAAAGAACTCGGACACAGATTTCAGGGCGAAATGTTCGAGGATGACGAGAATAGCACCTACTAGTAACGTCACGATACCTGAACGATAGAAAGAAGTGGTCCTTAAACTTAAATATTGCAATTTAAAAAAAAAAAAAAATGGAATAATTGTTTTAAAAAATTGCAAGAGAACTAATGTTGGGTCTAACTTTTTGAGCAATGAGAGTTTTTGCGGGGCGGGGGGAAAATTTGGGAAAAGAGGGAGAGAGAGGGGGGGGGTGTTAAGCTATGAAAAATATGCAACAGTTATTTATTCATTTTTAAATGTGTACGTGTATAGATGTGTGTGTGTGTGTGGAGTGGGGTGGGGGCGAATCTGTATTTTACACACTCCATGCTACCAAAACTATTTCTGTATCTCACATCTTAAAGTGATGTTGTTTATTTAGAGTCATTCGTATACACAAATTCTTTCTGTATGTGTCGTAAACACAGCGCTTCTGTATGTGTCGTGAACACAGCGCTTCTGTAAAGGTCGTGAACACAGCGCTTCTGTATAGGTCGTGAACACAGCGCTTCTGTATGTGTAGTGAACACAGCGCTTCTGTATAGGTCGTGAACACAGCGCTTCTGTATGTGTAGTGAACACAGCGCTTCTGTATGTGTAGTGAACACAGCGCTTCTGTATGTGTAGTGAACACAGCGCTTCTGTATGTGTAGTGAACACAGCGCTTCTGTATGGGTCGTGAACACAGCGCTGTCCTAGTTTGTGATTATTATTATTAATTTTTGTTATTTGCACGTTGTTTAATGTGTGTGGCCTTGAGGGGGGTGGGGGGGGGGCGGGCGGGTGGCATGTCCGAGAACCACCACCCTGACCTACCAGAGATGAGGGTCAGCCAGAAGCACCACCCGTACACCAGCCTGAGGTAGGAGCCGCCGAAAGCGATGGCCAGCGGCTGCGGGTTCTGACAGCAGTGGTAGGCCACGCACGCCAGGACCATGCACAGCCCAGTCAGGAAGCACATGTAGGCGCCGTAGATGATGACGCTGAACAGGAGGACGTTGGTTACGATCCAGAAGGCGAAGGCGGTCCTGTAATGGAGAGGAGAACAGGATTTTGAAAAGATGACTATGGCGAACGTTGAAAGGAAATAATTCTAGCGATGAAACCAACCAGACGACAGTGAAAGATAATGTCTTTAAAAAATGTGTGTAAATAGAATTCCAGTAACGAAATAGATGGTATTAAAATTTGCATTACTTGTTGCGTTATCTCTTATATATTGCTTCTGGTGTGTCCTTCTTCCTCTTCAAAACCGCCCTTACCCCAACTACACATGTTACACAGGGAGCGTCATACGCAAAGGTTGAACTCAGTTAAACAGTTCAATTAATTTTTTTTCTATAGAGGAAGGCGACCATTATATTAATCGATAAAGAGCCACGGGTATGGTGTAGGCCTGTCTGTGGGACTGTTTGTTAAAAGCCGGCCTATATGTTAAAAAATGAAATGTTAAATTTTTTGTGTATATGTGTGTAACACTTGGACCGATTGGTTATTTTCTCAACATACCCGGATGCGGTGTAAAAAAAACAAAAAAAACCCATCTAACGGCACTCCGTTATTTATATTCCCTGATGTCAGCGTGACCTATTGCACTCACCACAGGAGGGCGTACGCGTACTGCCCGGACGAGTGGAAGGTCCGCCCCCATCTCAGGTCGCCGGCGTCGACGGTCAGAAACTCCATGACCTTGAGGACTGGGGCCGGGAGACCCCGTGACAGGAAGTAGTTGTACGACTGGTACTCCTGGCCGTCTGGGGAAGAGGTTGAAATGTTATGTTGGTGATATCACATGCTTGTTGTTGTTCTTTTGTTGTTTTTGTTGTTTTTTTTTTTGAAGAGGGGGGGGGGGGGGGGGGGGGCATGAAGGGGGAGATCTCTGGGTGAATTACATGTGAAACAAACAATTGATTTTAAAAAGTGAACTCCGCACGTCCAGAAACATGTCATCACCACTACGATGTGAAAATCTATCCTTCAGATCCGTCCGTTAACAGTTAACACTGTTTCTTGCCTGACATTTTTCTCCGAGGGGGATTGGAGGGGGGACGGGACGACAGTGCAAGTCGCCAGTGGCGAGAGGGATGTCAGATGGGACGCGATTCAGTTTAAACAACTGTGACGTAACGTGTCATAACCAGTAGCCTGATTTTCCTGAGACCTGAGATGTCGCCGTCAGCGAGAAAGGAAGGGTTATAAGACAATTTATAGTTTTTTAGATTTCAAGTTTTTTTTTTTTTTTTTTAAAAGTGCGGAGTGAAAAAAAAAATCCTCTTTTGACGTCATTGAATTTTGATTTGATATGTGAACTTGAAACCTACGAACAAATCTGGTTAAAGTGTAGATGACCTCCCTTTGGAAATTGGTTTTCCCCCCTGCCATGACGTCACGTTGTCATTTTTTTTTTTTAAATTGACATTGATAACGTCATCAAGTACCCACCCCCTCACCCCCCACCCCCTCACACAACACCTCGAGGGCTGTCAACTCTTCTCAAACACACAACTTTGACCTTGAGTTTTTGTGTTTTTTGTTTTTAAATTTCCTTCCGTGCACGCAGCAATATAACATTTTATTTATGGCACCAACTATTTTGATGGAAAAGAAAAAGACTTAGTCTTGGTATTTATTTGAAAATTATCATTTTAACAAATAATAATTATGACGGTGAAGTGGGTGGGTGGGTGGGTCTGTAGGTGGGTGGGTGGAGTGGGATGACGGATGAAGTGGGCCACAACCCAAAATTATTCATTATTTTTTGTTTGTTGCTAAACGGTCAGTTAGTCTGCGGGCAAAAGCAGCCTATTTGTTTCTTTATCTCCGTATATCAAGTTCAAGGTTACCGTGCAGTAAAAAAAAGAAGGTGATAAATCACAATGGGGTGAAAGGTTACATGGGGGGAAGGGGGGAGATGGTAAAAAGGTTTAGGCACTTACAATCGGTGTAGGGCATGCTCTCTGTGTAGTGGACGTGCGCTCGTCCCATGGGTCCTGAGTAATAGCCTAAAAAGTGTGGGGGGGGGGGATAAACAACAAATGGTGAGTATGGTAACATGTCACACAAAAAGCTGCATTGTTATATATGTAAGAGAAAGGATGTATTGGTAGATTTATGTCCTATAATGTAGCACGTCCAACAATGGCGGTGGCCATGCGTGAACATAACATCTTCTAAAGTTACAAAGCAAAACATTTATTCCAGTAGCACACTTTATAGGAATGAAATTCAAGAAACATTTTGAGAGTCCCTGTTCCAAGGTATGAAGTGCACAAACACTATGTCTACTCAGCGGTTCTCTAACGGCTTACGAATATTTTAACTACCTCCAAAAAAAACCGTGATCTCACTCACCGTCCAGCGTGACGTTGGCTCCGTCCAGGGCCACGTTGACACCCACCAGGCCTTCGAAGGGCAGGTTGTTCCTGTACACGTATGGCGTCCTTATCTTGACCTCGCCGTACTGCCAGGAGTGACCGTAAAGGCAAACTGAAGAGAGGTGTGGGGGGGGGGGTTAGAGATTAATCTAGTGTTTATTTATTTCTGTAATCACGTCATCAAATCAAATTGAGGGGGGGGGGGAAGAAAGGCAAGACAAAGTTACAAAGTAACATTAATTAAAAACTATTGAAAATGACGTCACTTTACACTTGATATTTTTAAGCCCCTTTCCTAACCACTACCCCCCCACACACACACACACACGCGCGCGCACAACTGTTACGTCCCCTTGTGTCTTTTGAATATTCGTGTACATTAATATCAAATCGTTCTGTTTTTGGTTTGAACAATGACAAGGCACACTTCTTACCTAATAGAATAGAACATATGGCGACTGCGTAGCTGGCTCTCAATGCGGCCGACCATCTCTGTGGACAGACACATTTCATCATCATCAGGCTTTGCATTCATAGAACATTTTATGACAAAGATCGATATAAGATATTCTAATCGTTTAAATTGCCCGCAATTCAAAACAGCACGTCTCTAATTATCTGTATCTAAAAAAAAAATATTAAAAAATCTCTTTATTAGAACATTCCTGGATGTCTCTCGTCTCCAACTTTCAATTTTCTAAACTTCAAATCTCTAAATTTCAAGTTTTTACATTTCAAATCTCTAAATTTCAAGTTTTTACATTTCAAATCTCTAAATTTCAAGTTTCTAAATTTAAAATCTTTAAATTTCAAGTTTCTAAATTTCAAATCTCTAAATTTCAAGTTTCTAAATTTCAAATCTCTAAATTTCAAGTTTCTAAATTTCAAATCTCTAAATTTCATTTCAAGTCGCTAAATTAACTAATTGTATGTAATCGTTCAAAAGCCCTTCTCTACAACGCAAATATCCTTCAGGCAATGTGGAATCAAATACAATACCCCACCCCAACCCCCAGCAAGCCGCCACCCCACCCCCATCCCCGCCCCACTCCCACCCCCGCCCCAAGCACTGCCGTAATGAAAGTACATTTATATTTTGTCCGGCATGTTTGCTCGTATTAAACAGTCAACAGCTTGTTGTACATGATGACATGTTGTGGCTGGTGTATCCTATTTTATGGCTGTTGATTTCTTTCAAGACTGATGCATTGCCACGCCCCCCCCCAACCTCATAATTTGCATACATGCCATCTGGTTTAAATCACAAGTCATGAATGTCTTGTCCTGGTTCTTGTGTTTACGAACATTTTGGGGGAAATTTTCTTTCTTTTTTTCTTTTTTTTTTTTTTTCCAAACAAAAAGGAAGTTAGAAACATTTTATTTCAGTTATCTCCCCTAACTATCTGATGAATGTCTTGTCCTGGTTCTTGTGTTTACGAACATTTTGGGGGAAATTTTCTTTCTTTTTTTCTTTTTTTTTTTTTTTTCCCAAACAAAAAGGAAGTTAGAAACATTTTATTTCAGTTATCTCCCCTAACTATCTGGTCAAAATGTAAGTGTGTGACATATTTGTGCCGTAGGCGAGAATGCACCTGTCATATTGTGATGTCTTTTTGCTCGTATGGAAAAAAACGATATTAAAATGATATAAGTATCTGTTGCGTGTTGAAAATAAAATGTATGAAGTTTCTAGTCGAGTTACCATTAATGGGAAGGTGGGGGGGGGGGGTGCGCCCGGGGGGTGTGCTTTCGCTACATTTCAAGGCCATCCCTCTTTTTTGGAATTCGTAAAAACCCAAGCAATATCGGCTCGCGGGCCGCTGCAGGTCCCCCGGACCACCATTTTGGGAACGCTGGTCTAGATTAATAAAAAATAGTAGCTAAGGTACGTTATTGTTTTTGTTTTCCTCTTGGAATGACGTATTAAGTGACATGTTAAGTGACATATTAAGTGACATATAAGTGACATATTAAGTGACATATTAAGTGACATATTAAGTGACATATTAAGTGACATATGAAGTGACATATGAAGTGACATATGAAGTGACATATTAAGTGACATTTTAAGTGACATTTTAAGTGACATATGAAGCGACATATGAAGCGACATATGAAGCGACATTTTAAGTGACATGTTAAGTGACATGTTAAGTGACATGTTAAGTGACATATGAAGTGACATATGAAGTGACATATGAAGCGACATATGAAGCGACATATGAAGTGACATTCTAAGTGACATTCTAAGTGACATTCTAAGTGACATTCTAAGTGACATTCTAAGTGACATTCTAAGTGACACTCAAGTGACACTCAAGTGACACTCAAGTGACAATCAAGTGACAATCAAGTGACATATCAAGTGACAGAAACACGTGCCTTACCCTACCCCTACCCAAAGCAAGTCTTTGGCACGCCCGGTTAGGAAGAGGGACGGGGTTGTAGTCTAACTACTCTGAGAGCAAGTTAGTAATATTTTAAAAGAAAAGAAAATGTAAAGGCGTCTACCTCTCGGCCCCGTATGCCCAGCGTCGCGATGAGCGTCGCCACTGAGATGAGGATGCAGACGTAGGTGACCACCACCAGGGGGATGTCGTACGTCACCGGTGTGGCGTTGTCCGGGTAGGACATGAAGCCGTGCTCGTTGCGGAAAGCCCTGAACCAAGCCATCCTGTGGGAGACAAGAGGAAAACGAGGTGTGTGAGTGGGGGAGACAGAGAAATGGGGGGTGTGATGGGGGGCAGAGTAATGGGGTGGGGGAGGCAGAGAAATGGGGGCAGTGAAATGGGGGGTGTGAGGGGGCAGAGAAATGGGGGGTGTGATGGGGGGCAGGGAAAGGGGGGGTTAGGGGGGGCAGAGAAATGGGGGGTGTGATGGGGGCAGAGAAATGTCAGCAATTGGGTTTATCATTACATACTATTTTATTCTATTATCATTATTATTATTTTTATTATTATTCTAATCAGAGAAGAAAAATAAAATATGGTAACCTCTACGAGTAGNAGAGAAATGGGGGGTATGATGGGGCAGAGAAATGGGGTGCATGAGGGGGGCAGAGAAATGGGGTGCGTGATGGGGGCAGAGAAATGGGGGGTGTGATGGGGGCTGAGAAATGGGGTGCATGAGGGGGGCAGAGAAATGGGGTGCATGAGGGGGGCAGAGAAATGGGGGGTGTGATGGGGGCAGAGAAATGTCAGCAATTGGGTTTATCATTACATACTATTTTATTCTATTATCATTATTATTATTTTTATTATTATTCTAATCAGAGAAGAAAAATAAAATATGGTAACCTCTACGAGTAGTACGAATATAAAGTGACCTTATCACCAATAAAGTAACATATGAAAAAGAGTAAAGATATTATCCAATCTTAAATTCATGACGTCATGTTGAATATGAATCTCGTCGTTACCTATTAGGGTCTACCTGTAAACTCATCACCCGCATTAACTGCAGTTAAAGAATAGAATCTTCGCGGTTATATACCACAACCAATGACGTAATTAAACACACAATAAACTTTTAGGCATGCGCCAATACTCTCCAATCCCATATTCCTGTCAGGCTTGACAATCAAGGAGAAGACGACCAATCGGTTTGAACGAGATCAGTCCAATCAGAAGGGGACACCACTACCACTTCCGTGTATCATTAATTGAGCCACATCAAAGTGCCAGCCCCCACCCCTGGCCCCCACCATTGACCTGTCATTCTTACATCTCCCTTACGACTGTCTACTGACGTCACGAAGAGTGTGTCATTTCAAATCTTTTCTTTCCTTCAATGGGCTTTAATGGACTTAACTTTTAAAACCCTGTGTTTCCTACATATATATGTTGACTTCGTTTCGACTAGCCTGCATTTATAGATATAGAGATATTCCTATGAGTTTTTAAAAATTAATTTGGCCTACCACAAAACCAGAGGGAGGCTGCAGAAAGGAACATTACACCTGTTTGGTTACATTGACATTTAAACTGACATATTACACATAATATGTATTACTGTTGTTATGGTGATTTTCACGCATCCATGGGAAAGTCTTTAAGAGACCTTCTTCCACGGTACAGCTGCACTATCTTGGCGCTGTGCAGGGCTGCATTGAATATGTGAGCCGATCAAACACTGCTTTGTGCATCGAGACACTAGGGGCGTCAAGAGAAATGGGACATTAAGAGAAGAGGGGCATCCCTGGAAAGGGGGCGTCAAAAGAAAAGGGGCGTCAAGAGATGTGGGAACATTATTTTTCAATAGCAGCATTTCGACGATTAACATTGCGGTGCACAACTGCAAGCAGCAACGGTGCACACCTGCAAGCAGCAACGGTTGCTCACTAATCAAATTCTATAAATAAGGGAACCGCAAAGAAAATTTTCAAATATTATTTTTTTGTCCTCCACTCCACTTCATACATACTGGGATGTATAAATATGTAAAACAATAATTTCGAAAAAAAACCAGCTAAGATTATGTCAATTTCAATGTCAAGGTCACGACTTGATCGATGTGTAGCACAATTGCATTAAATCTTCCTGAACACTGAAAATGTATGCTCAATAATATTGACCAGGACTAGGAGGAAATAGTGAAAACAATAAAGCTGTGACTAAGTTTATTCTCAGTGGTGAAGCTAGGGTCAGTGGCGTAGCTAGGGTCATGGGCGCCCGCAGGTAGGGACAAGGTGGGGCACTTGCCCCCCCCCCCCCC